GTTAACATCTCGTACACGTACCCTGACTGTCGATTGTTTCAAGTGGTATTCTGGATCACAGAAGGGACGTTGTCGTTGTCGTTGCAAGTTCATAATGTCAATGGGGTATTGATAATCGTCCCGCTCGTAAGGGCATGAATAGCCAGGATTTATGAGACAGTAGAATACAAGTCCAAGTGCTCAGATATCAACTTTCTTTAGATCATCCAGCGACAGCTTTTTCCCTGGCGCCATTGCTTCTGGTAACAAGATCTCTGGTGCCATGAAAGGAATAAATTGTTCCTCTGAGTGCCTGGTTAGTTCCGGGATCATTTAGTCCGGTGGTCTTTAGCTATTGTGAACGACTTTCACCGAAATCCGCCAGCTTGCACCGCACCACTGATCTAACCGCCTTGATCCCTTTGATCTGCTGCCTGTCTTGAAGGGTAGAATAATGCTGATTGGAAATCAAAATGTTCATAGGCTTCGAGTCACAGTAAGTGCGCGATTTCATTTTCATGCAGGTGTAAAAGTCCGTTGGAAACATCAACTGCAATCTGTGGAATCAGATAATCAAATCCATTCTCTGCGGTTTGGGGAAATTGCGCAATCTCTGACAGGAACATATCTAGGGTGTTAACCTTGATGTCTCTTCTGAAATCCCTGAAAGGACTGAAATCGAAAACCGCGTATTCCATTACGATAGTAAGGGCATTCATGCAAATCCCATACATTTGGGCGATATTTTCATGATGAAGTCCAGTTAATAGCTTGGCTTCCTTCATGAACAGTTTTCTGACAACATCACCCGCGGCCAGTGCTTGGTGCATTATTTTCATCACAACTGGATTGGTCTCCTCCGGTTCATCACAATGTGCTAAATAGACTGTTCCAAAGTAACACGTCCAAGTTTGTTTTTGGATTTTCAGTTTTCTGTAATCCCAAACTTTAATTCCGTCTTCCATCATGAGTGGATCTGCTTGATTATCTCTGAAAATAAAACAAAAATAACAAAATAAAACATTAAAACAAAATACATTTTTTGTATTTCTTTGAGACACCATAAGAACATCCAAGTGTGCAATGGAGGTGGTTTGGTTCTTTTGAACTAAAGAACGATTTCATCAGATGAGCAAATAACCTTAGTGAAAATAACCTTAGCAATTAACCTTAGTGCAAACCTACATTTGTTTCAATGAATGGGTATAGTAAAGATCATCGATTTTCCATTCTAAGAGTGACCACCAGGGTTTATAGAGTATTGCAACTGTGCCGTGGTGGATGCGAAAGTTGTGGTGTATGGTGATCGGGATAAGGCAGAGATTACTAAAAGGGGTTTTCTCTGGCATTCTCTCTAGATTCAAAATAACGGTTAAGTACTTTGACATACCACTGCGGTGTTAGCTGTGATGATAATGATGATGATGATGATGATGATGTTGGTTATAGTGACTATTGATCTATTCATGGTCAGCTTATGATCTTGATTACGATGGTGGCAGTTGTGCTATTGGTGGAGGTGAAGTCGGTGATAAACTAGCATCTCAGTTTAGAACCATGCTGGCCTTACAAAACCTTGCAATTTCTTTGGCAACGTAATGCAGCTGGTTGACACGAAATTATTTCGCTTTTAAGCGCCAAAGAGCTTGTACAGATTGCAATTTACCGATTATAAACCACATGCGTCTTTAACTATGGTTTCTGTCCTCGCGCGTATGCAAGAACAAAAATAAGCACTAAACATTTCGTAGACCGCGAGTCTTACATAATCAAAGGAGATCATGGCAAGTCGTAAGGAACATCATTTTTATGTAATCTGCTTATGATTCTGTTCTCTATTATAGTGACACATGTAGCGACTAGAACTTTCTTTGCCTTTGGGTGTCACGTCTTTCCGTGACCCCTGGGAATTATGCAATCCACTCTGTAATACTTAAGCGTTCTTCATTATGCCTAGTTTTGTGTTTTTCATTTTTGGCCAGTGCTTGTTAGCCCTGAAAGTTCGATCTGCTGGTTTCTACCGCATTTTTTCCTTAGCTGCTTCACTGTTGTGAGCCCAGAAGTACAAATTCTAGAATTGGAGTCGCCACAGTTTTGTAAGTTTACTTTAATCCGTTGTCATTTTTTTGTCGTTATAGTTTGTACTTAAATATTTTGTTTTGTTTATTTTTCAGTTGAATCACATCACACACATACATCACACACCCACGATCACTTTTGTTTCTCTCGTGTTTACGCCCAGTGTGATTAAACTTGTGCATTCAAACTGTGACGTCTGTAGCGCTTACTAGAGCCACAACACATGCAATTTACCAGTAAAACTAATTTTCCTTGTTAAAGACATCAATTCTGCTACAATTTCTTCCAGTAAAACACAGATTAAAAGCACTGTGAAAAGAGTATCAGCCAACGCACCGCATTCAGTGCACACATCGAAACAAAATGGCGTCGTAAAATGGAGTCTAAAGTCGAAAGCACACCTCTCGTTTGTCTTCCGTTTCGAACCAATGACATCACACTTAAGAAACTTATTTTCGTCCGGTTTTCAGCGCTTGTGCAGCGAACAGGAAAGTATCTTTTCTATTCCAAACGGCCGTCTTTCCTTGATGAATGGTTTACTACGACTGGGTTCAAAGCGGGTGTGGACAAAACATGGGGTAGGCCATGGTGTAGCCATGGCCTACCCGCTGGCTTACCCTATGGCCTACCTGTAGTCAGATTTTTAAAAACATAAACAAAACATCATTAAGAGTCGAACGAGTTAGCTGGCATAAAAATTATATCCGTCTAATAGGGGTATACTAAAAAGTCACTAACACGATTATCAACATCAGAGGGAACAAAACAATGCCAACCTTACAGCACTCAGCCTTGAAACATCCTATTTCTCGCTGTCTTCGACATCTAGCTTCCCCAGCTAAGCAATCAACCATAACGGCAGGTTAGGAGGGAGGGGAAGGGCCCGGGGGAACTCCCATATAAAAAAGACGGGGGTGCTGGTCGGAAATTTTAGAAAGAACCCCTAAGAGGTACCAAAACT